GGCGAGGCTGGTCACCCGTGATGTCCCAGTGCTGCCCAACATCTTCATTGGTGACCTCAGTGACGGGGAGAGAGCACCCTGGGCAAGCCTGAGGATGGTTCCGAGCTGGGGGCAGCTGTTATACACCGGAGGGTTGTGCTGCTGTCCAGGGGAAGCTGGGCAGGCTGATGAAGTGGGCAGAGGGGCCTCATAGAGTTCAACCGGAGCAATGCCTAGTCCTGCCCTTGGAGAGGAACAGCCTCAGGCCCTGGTGCCTGGTGGAGAGCAGCTCTGGGGACAAGATCCTGGCACTCCTGGTGGGTAGGAACCTGAGCAGGCACCAGGCACATGCTCTTGTGGCTTGGGGCCACCAGACCGTGGGCCGTGCTGGGCCAAAAGGGATCGGGAGAGGAGCTCCTGCCCCTCTGCTCAGACACCTCAAGGTGCTGAGTCAGGTGCTGGGCTCCCCTGGTGCAGGAGAAAGGAGGATGTGCTGGGGTAAGTCCAGTGCATGGTGGTGGTGAAGGGACTGGAACATCTCTCGCACGAGGACAGGCTGGTAGAGCCTGGAGAGGAGATGGCTCAGGGTGGGGATCTCATCCATGTGTGTAAATCCCTCCTGGTGGAGAGCAGAGGAGATGGAGCCAGGCTTTGGGCATCCTCTCTCCATGCCCCTCCTGCCACCCCACAGGGTTCAACGTGGAGACCGTGGAATACAAGAACATCTGCTTCACTGTCTGGGACGTGGGTGGCCAGGATAAAATCCGACCCCTCTGGAGGCACTACTTCCAAAACACGCAGGTAGGCAGGGGCTGCTCTCTGCCTTGGTCGAGGGGCGCCTGCAGCCCACCTGGGATCACCTCCTCTTGTCCATGCAAGCTCCACCTGGCTTCTCCCACAGGGTCTCATCTTCGTGGTGGACAGCAACGACCGAGAGCGAGTGCAGGAGTCTGCTGACGAGCTGCAGAAGATGGTGAGTGATGGCAGGGGGGATTCTGGCAGGGAGGTGGGCATCCCCAAGCCCTCCTCCTGCTTGTCCGGCTCTGCAGAAGCTCCCGGATGCGTGTGAGATGAGACCTGGCTCTGCCCTGCCTGCAGCACGGAGCCGGGGGCACCCATCCGGAGACGGGCTTGGGGACCCAACAGCAACTCGTCTGCCAGGTGGAGGCTGCACCTGCAGGGATCCGAAGCGATCACAAGGGGAAAAGATGTCTGAGAAAATGTGGTTCTGGGTTTTATGTAGTCAGATCTTTGCTAGGCAAGCACCCAGGACACAGAGGGAGAGGGAACAGCATCCAGAAATGGGGTCCCAGAGCCAGGCTGTGAGGTGGGGGTCATTGATTCCTCAGTGCAGCTGCCTGTGGGGCATTGAGCATCCCTGAGGAGGGCAGCTGGCACAGAGCAGAGCGTGTCACAGCCTGGGAAGGGGGAGAAGGGACACCTGGTGCCTGCTCGCCTTTGTTCGGGGAGAGTCATGCCTGCTCATTGTGCTATCCCCGCGCTGGTCG